TCTTATCTGAGGTGGTCTCATGTAAGGTCTTTCACAATCAGACTGGAGTGTTCTGAAACTTAGATTTGGAATGTTCTAAAGCGTCAAGAATGTGAAGAAAGTGATGTCTTTTCTTCTCCCCCCCCCCCCATTTTTAAAAATCTTTTTTTAGTACGAAGAATCTGAAGTAAATGTAAAGACTGGTATTATATGATAAATGAAAGGTGAAACTGAGACCATAATTAAGAAACACAGCTTCATAGGTTCATGTACCTACTATTTGAACAGAATCCCAACCTGTTTCCTGGCTTTAAGTTTTGTTTGTTTTGTTTTGTTTTTTAAGAATTTTTTTATTTCATTTTATTTATTCATTCATTTTAATTTGACCATGGAGAGACACAGAGAGAGAGAGAGAAAGCAAAAATGCAAGTCACCAGGTCTAGGATATGAACCTGAGTCGGCTATGTGGGAGTGTCCAATGCCCAGACCACCACGCCACCTGCTGGTCCCCACCTGGCTTTAAGTTTTAAGCAAAGTTCCTTAGCATTTCTTTGATTTATTAAAGCTAAAACTGCTTTTTCTTGAAGTTAAAAAAATATAATAAAAAGTACCTGTTTAATGACTGTAGTAAGCTATATAGCATCAGCTAGGTGCTGTCTTATAGTATATTCATTCTACTCAGGGTTTCACGCCTAAACTCCAATAGGTATTCGCAGATATGTATATACCACCTGAACTTGCTATTGAAAGTAGTTAGATTATTTAAGAAATTTTGTGAATCAATAAAATGTGGGAGAAAAAGGAATGGAAAACGACTGTGGACACCTGAAATAGTGTGGGAGGAGAGTGGGAAATGGCAGAGGGTGAGAAATAGGGGGGGAAATACATGTATATACACACACACAAACATAAACACACACATATACACACACACATATATATGAAACTAGAAATGGAAAATTATTGACGGTAACATGTATGATTAAGCCACTGTGCAGTATATTTTGGATGGGAAATCACATTTTGTATGCTGTGACAATGGTCAGTGAATGAATGTAAATTAATTAATTAAAAACATAATAATAAAAAAGAAAGAAAAGAAACACAGCTTCTGAATCAGCAGGTGGCATGGCGGTTAAGGCATTGGACCCCATGTAGCCGACTCCATGGTTCAGGTTCTGGACCTGGACGCCTGCAAACATGCTGTGTGTGTGTGTACGCGTGTGCATGCATGCGCAGAATCCCTAGAGGAGCGTGGAGAAAAAAAGATTGTGGTATGACCATTCCCCCTTGCAGGTGATTTCTAACTTTCCCTCTCTCTATGTCTCTCTCTAGTGAGCACATGTGGCAAAAAAAATCTTTTTTTTAAAAAGTATTTATTTAGTTTTATTTGTTATTATTATTTTAATTTGACTAGAGAGTGAGAGAAAGTGAGAAAACAAGTTACCAGGTCTGGGACTTGAACTGCAGTCCGCCATGTGGGAGCCTAGTACCTTAACTACCACACCATCTGCCTGGCAAAAAATCTTTTAAAAAAAAGAAAAAAGAAACACAATTTCTTTCTTTTTTTTTTTTTTTTTAGAGGTTTTGACTATAGGGCACATGCGATCGTCATACAGACAGAGAGAGACAGAAAGACAAGAAGTGAGAAATCACCCCCCAGGGGGGATGGCCACACCACAATCCCTTCTCCTCTGTTCTCGTCTCGGGATCTTGGGCACGCACACACACGCGCCCAACATGAGTTTTAAGCCGCTGGGTCCGGGACGCGAACCACAGTTGACTATGTGGGAGTCCAGCAACATAGCCATTATGCTAGCTGCTGGTCTCAAGAAACACAACTTCTAAGCCTCAGCATAAATGATGGAGTCAAGCTAACTTTTTCAGGGGACTTTAAATTTATGAAGCACTTTAATGTATATTATTTCAATTTATGATTTGATTAAATGACTTAGCATATGTAAAATACTTGGCACAGTGCCTGGTATATAGAAAACACTGGGAACCAGCAGTTAGCGTAATGGCTATGTCGCTGGACTCCCACATAGTCGACCGCGGTTCGCGTCCCGGACCCGGTGGCTTGAAACTCACGCTGGGCGCGTGTGCGTGCGTGCCCAAGATCCCAAGAGGAGAATGGAGGAGAAGGGATTGCGGTGTGACCATCCCCCCTGGGGGGTGATTTCTCACTTTCTGTCTCTATGTCTCTCTCTGTCTGGCGAGCGCACGCGCCCTAAAAAAAAAGAAAAAAAGAAAAAAGAAAACACTTAGTGTTAGTTGTAATGTTCTCAATAATGAGGAGCAGGCGGCATGGTGGTTGAGGTGCTGGACTCCCACATGGCTGACTGTGGTTTGAGTCCTAGACCAGGCAGGACTTTTCTCACTTTCCTCCTCTCATTCTGGTCAACTTCAATAAAATAAAATAATGACAATGAATAAAGTTAAATAAAATAATTCTTTAAAAAAATAAATAACTTTGAGTTAGTAGGAGTGTTTTCCTCCTTTCATTGTACAATTGAATATACAGGTATGTAGACATTGTGTTCTACTCATGTCTTTCTGGCTCTGTTTTTCCTGCTCTTCACTTTATTAGTTTGCCTCAGAAACAAATTATTCCAATTTACATTTCACTTTTAGAGCACAGTTTATAGCGCTGGAAGGGGCCTTCAGTATTGTGTAGTTCAGTTTCATCTTAGAGTTGAAAAAAACTGAGGACAGGAGTGACTAGATGAATATCCTCAAGGTTATACAGTCCAGCTAGGTCAGAAGTACTACTGGGAGCTGAGTCTTCCAGTTTATTGAATAAAAAAAAAAAAAAAAAAAAAAAAAAAAAAAACCACCCTCAAGTGCCCATTAGCAAGAAGACAGATAAATAAACTGCGAACCAGGCATATAATAATATCCATAACAGTTACCGGAAGAAAACAGCAAAAAGCTGGCAACATGTAGCAACAAGGGTAAATCTCACAAATACCAAGAAAACAAAAGAAGCTGCAGAATAATACATATGTATAAATCCATTTATAGGAAGTTTAACACATGCAAAACAATATTTTATGTGTGCATGTATGTGTGAAATAAAAGTGAAAAAACATGCATGGAAATAAATACTAAATTTAACATTAATTACCTTTGAGGGAGGCGGGAAGAGAAAATGAGTGAGGAAGGGACACTGGGAACTTAAATTATATTTGCAATAATGGATTTCTTAAATTTGGTGGTAAGCACATGTTTATTTGTTGTATTATTATTCTAATTGTTATTGCCAGAGTACATGTGTGCTCACCAGAGAGAGAGAGAGAGAGAATGGGGCAAGAGGGTACCTCTCTCAATAAAAAAAAAAAAATGGACATCTAGAGTCCTAGATGGAATTCTAAGTTCTGTCCTAGTTTGTCCTAAAAAAGAATTAGATTCAGTTCTTATTTGTACCTCTGGGTACTAACACCTTTACAATGAATACTCTTATGTTTACCTGATACCTACTGTTTGGTTCCTGTGTTGTTCCCATAATATAAAGGTTTTGAATTTGTAGTGTCTACCTTCTTTGTTTAATTCATTTGATAAAAGCATTTATTGAGTATCTACCATTTGGCAGTCACCATGGTCGTGTTAGAGATACAAAGGCAAACTTGCCTTGTAATAGGGCTCCTTGCCAGATTGTTGGCACATGTTTGGGTTTCTAGCCAGGCAGCCTCGGGGATGAAAGAACTCCTAAATCCCTGGGAATGCCCTATGCTCTAAAGCCCAAATTAAAATCAACAGCATTGTGAATGTTGTGGATGGCATTCACGATATTACTTTGGTTTGTGAAGAAAGCCAGGAAAGGACATGATGTTTTTCTAGAAGCTGGAGAAAGACTGGGGATAAGAGGGGTGACAGGACAGGGCGGGGGCATTAAGGAAACTGTGTTAGGCTGGGGTAGTTTTCACAATCTCCCTGTGCAGTGGCCAGGACCTCTATTCTTATCTTAGTTGGACAAATGAGAATATTGAAGTCCAGAAAGACTGAATGACTTGCCCCAGGTCATCCAGCTCTTAATACCAGAAGAGGGTGGACTGGAGTCTCCTGATTGCTGCAACAAGTGAGAGTGACGACAGCCCAGGGCTGGCTGTGGGTATGAACCTGTGCTTACCTGGCTGCCCTTGCAGGGGAAGGTTCCTTGTTTGGTTTTGTTTGTTTTTTTCTTGCTGAGGCTCAACTGAACTGTATTTCTATTTTGAGCATCAGCATTGTTATTGACTTAGAGGAGACTGTTTATAGAAGAAAGCAAACTTGAAACTGTTCTCAAGCCAGACAGACAGGAGCTCTATTAAGATTCTCTTCATGAGATGGCTCCTAAGGCCGCTGTCTCTGAACCAAACTGTGCTAGTAGAGCTGAAGAGCCAGAGGTCAGAAGCCACATCAGTGTGAAGTACTTCTCTTTAGGGTTACCTGGGATGGGAAGTTCCCTTGTTCTCTAAGCTTAACACTTAGAAGAGTCCTACAGCCTATGACCTTTACCCTTCTTAGCTGGTGATAGGGGCCCTTTGTCAGTAAAGCATTCATGTGGATTCTACTGCACTCTTTCAGGTCACTCCCCTTATTAAGACTGAGGTAGCAAAGGGGTGAGTTGAACTGCTTTTCTCATTGAGAAGGAGGTTCGCATATTATGCTCAGCCAGTTAACAGGTCAGAGGAATGGGTTTCCTACTGTGTGAAAAAGCCTTCCTTTATTGAGTGTGTGTATTCTTAAAAAATTTGCCTTAGCATCAAGCATCCTGAAAAATGAGATCTTTTCTAGTAGCTATAAAATTAGAAATAAACTACTTAACTCTTGACAGGTGTGTGTGTGTGTCTATACTGTGTTTCCCATTGCTTCCTCATTCTTACAAAATAAACCCTGAAGTTTGGATGTGTCTGAGTCCTCAAGCACAATAATTGAATGTGACAGGAACACAGTAACCAGAAGACCTGGGAGGCCATGAAAGATTTGCATTGCAAATATAAAAAATAAATAATGAGACTTTTTTTTTCCTCTCCTTACAGGGAAACTGGATTCCAAGATCCATCAAGGAGCAAAGAAGGGGTTAATGAAGCAGAATAAAGCTGTCTGACCCAGGAGAAAAGGAGCTATACAGCATAGTGGAGTTCTGTGTACTGAATCTGCTATCCCCCGGTCCGCTGGAATTGAAGCAGCAGACATCTAAAGCTTGGCATCAGGCTTAAATCTCTCAGAATTTAAACTCTTACAAAATCTGAATATTTTTCTTAAAACATGGGGTTCTTATAATTATGTAAATGGGTCAAAATGTTTGAATATATTATGTATAAAAACCTATTAAAAATTTTGAGGTCTTTGACATTTTTTAAAGAATGGTATCAGAAAAGAAAGGAACCAGTTGGAAATTACTTTCCTCTCTGAGATTTATATTTGTAGTTAGAAAAGTTCTTAACGGAGCTTCATGATTTTTTGAGGGACTCCTTAGATTTCACACTTTCTTTTTTCAATGAGAGTCTTCTAAAGTACTAGGATGTGTGAGGAACCCTGTGTTTAATACAGACCTGTAATTGGATAAAAAGAGTCAAGTTTTCTGCTCTGGTCCAATGTCCCTTAACATGAACTGATTGAAAACCCTGAGTGAAAAGTGAAAAGCTGAGTAACCACCCTCATTGGCAGATTTTTTTTTTTTTGGAAGGGGTAACCTGAAGTTCTCCCACTTTGTTCTTCAGTCTGAGAAGCCAGGACATGGAGGAATCAGACTGAGAAGAGCTGGAGCCACCTGCTAAAACAGCATGAAGCCGCCCTGGTTGTTTTGTTTGTCCAAGCATCACTTGGATGGGGCAATTAGAAACAAACTGAAAAATATAAGCCTTCAGCAAATGCATCCATATACCCCCCAAATGCTTAAACCAAACCTTTTAAACTATCTACCTCCTAGGAAGCTATGAGCCTTAGAAAAAACAAGAAGTGGTTCGAAATGGGATTTTTACTAGTAGTCTGCCCCTGTGTAGTGAAGCATGTTTCTGAGGCTGTTTTGAAGAGCTGTCAGAATCTCAGTTGCTGGCATCCTGAGGAAATTCATGGTCTTAAATGTGTATGTTCTGCTTTTTATAAAGCAACACCACCACACTGGGGAAGTTGGACTCCCTCCAGCAGTTGTGTGCATGACTTAAAAAAGGGAGAGGGAGGGAGAGGAAAAAAAAAGTGCCCTGTGTTATGAAAAAGATTAATTTCCCCTTTCTTTAATCCTTCATATTCAGCGTTTATTTGCATTGAAATGCCTCCACTCATTATGCATTGATGTTCACTCAACTGTGAACTGTGCTTGTTGCATAGCTCTAGGCATTGGTTCTGCAGGGCCTGATCACTCTGGATTCCCAGGGAAAGCCCACCCGATTCTCCTACTGGTGATGTATACATGCAGTATTCTTTTTCTGTTCAACCTTGTGGAGAAAGTGGAAAGGACAGCCAAAGGCACTTCTTTAGAGAAAAGAAAGTCTCTCTCTGGCCTCCTGCAGACCTACTATTAATGAAGCCATACTGGGTTCACATACAGTTAATAGTTTACCAAGCAGTACCACCTTGAATTCTGTGCTGGATTAATACCAAAATGAAACTAAGAAACAGGAGGTAAAGAGCCTAGGGAGGCAAAAAAAGTTTCTCTGCCTCTTTATTTAAACAACAGTCTGAACACAGAGGAGCCTGGATTGATTTTTCCACCTGGGTAGATTGCATGTGCATGCCTGAAGAAAAAACATCAGAAGCTGCAACAGATCAGGTTATGCAACCATTTTGTGTGCCGTGATAAGAAAGTTTACAAGAACTTTACAAGTGTACAAGAACCCACCTCGGGATCCAAAATCTGCAGCTGGAGCCACATGCGTAAATGGCAGGGTAACTTGGAAACTTCTCCTTTTCGTGGTTAGACCACAAAGGCCTGTCTTTAGTTCACATGGTGGTGGTGGTGTAAGGTCTCTCTTATTTGTGGAGACACCAGGAAGTGTGGGAGAAACTTGGGGGTAGACGGCTCTCAGTTGCTCAGTGATGAATGGCATAATTTAAAGCCTAGTGGAAATTCTTAGCCTGAGTGCAAACTCGCCCAGGAATAGACTTTCCGCACTCGGCGGCAGCACTTTGCTCTGACCCTGGGACAGCTTGGCCTGAGGGAAGTTTCACATTTCTGAGCTGGTTTTCTATTGTAGCCTAAATACCTCCATCCCTCTATGGATGGTTGGGTTTAGCTGGCATCAATTTGTGTACTACCTAACTGATTTAGCAGATTTTGCCTGTTTGATTTTTACTTTGGTTTTCCAGGCAGGCCTCAGTCTCCTTTATATATGGTCCAAGTAGAATCTGTATGAGACCAGAGACTTTCTCAGTCCGGATTTAGGCTTTCGCCTTGTACTCAGAGGTGGAATAGAGGAAGGGTTTGTTTTTTTTTTTTCCTTGCTATTTATTATAGCTAGTCTGGAGAAAGAAAACTAGGTTTCCCTTTTCTTCTTTTTAAATTAGAAATCTACAGAAACCCATATTTTCCTAGGGAGTAGGTGTGAAAAATTTTGACTTTTAAGAATACTTCTAGGGACCAGCAGATGGCATACTGATTTTGTCACTGAACTCCCATGTAGTTGACCACGGTTTGAGTCCCAGACCCAGTGACTTAAAACTCATGCCAAGAGCGTGTGCCTGTGTGCCCAAAATCCTGAGAGGAAAATGGAGAAGGGATTGCAGCCTAGCCATTCTCCTTGGGGCATGATTTCTCACTTTCTGTTTGTCTTTCTCTGTCTCTCCAGTGAGTGCACGCTCCCTATATAAAAAAATCCCTCTTGGGAACCAGCAGTTAGCGTAATGGCTATGTCGCTGGACTCCCACGTAGTCGACCGCGGTTCGCGTCCCGGACCCGGTGGCTTAAAACTTACGCCGGGTGCGTGTGCATGTGTGCCCAAGATCCCGAGAGGAGAATGGAGGAGAAAGGATTGTGGCGTGACCATCCCCCCTGGGGGGTGATTTCTCACTTTCTGTCTCTCTGTCTGTCTCTCTCTGTCTGGCGAGCGCACGCACCCTATAGCGAAAACCTCTCAAAAAAAATCCCTCAATAAAAATAATAAAGAGGTGCCAGCAGATGGCATGGTGGTAAAGACAGCTGGACTCCCACATGGTTGACCACAGTTCAAGTCCCAGACCTGATGGCTTACTTTCTCACTTTCCTTCTCTCTCTCTCTCTCTCTCTCTCTGGTTAACTTAAAAAAAGAAAAACCAATAAATAAAATAATTTTTCAAAAAAAATAAAGATTACTTCTACAAATAATTACAAAGTTAGAACTTCTGTGAGTGTTAACTCTGTGTCTTTCCCTTTTAACTAGTCTCTATTAAAGCCTACTTATGTGGATTTCATTTAATTTAACTATTTTTTTTAATGCCTTTGGCTAGAGGTGTTAGCCAAGATTGAAACAGTATGGGGGTTGTTCTCATGGCCAGCTAAAGAAGACCATTAAAAAGCAGGCATCTATAAACAAGAGAAATCAGGGAACTTTAGTTTGTTAGGCCTAGGGGAGGAAATGAAATTCAGTGACAAAGGATATTTTTTTCCTTGAGATTCAAATAGCAAGTACGCATCTGCTGTTCTCGGCTTCTGTGAGTGTGTTGGGAGGAAGGTGATCCGTATCACAGGGTCCAGCAGCCACAGGAGGTCCAGCATGTGGAGGGCTTTTCTACTTCTCTCACGCAGGGAAGAAAGAACATGGCTACCATGCCATCCTCTGACACGAAGAAATTTGCATAAGCGTACCTTTATGTGTGTGCACATATCGTGGTTTCATTCATAGGGTGAAACTTGGTAAACTGTTCAAAGGCCCCATAGAGAAAAACTGTTAAATATACCCTATCTTGGAGTCAGAAAAGTGGGTGCATGTGTTTGCTGTGGGGGGCAGGGAGATATCCACTAGAATCTGTAGAGAGGTATGTCACAGGAAGGTAGTGAGATCTTGGCATGGGGTGGGAGTGGGGGAATGTCTATGTAGAAGATTTGAGGTGAACCTAGGGACCAGCAAATGGCATAGCGGTTATGTCACTGGATTCCCACATGGCCGACCATGGTTCGAGTCCCAGTGGCTTGAAAATCATGCCAGGTGTGTGTGGGTGCCCAAGATCCCAGGAGGAGAATGGAAGAGGGATTTTGGCATCGCCACTCCTACTGAGGGAAGAGGTGATTTCTCACTTTTCCTCTCTGCCTTGGTGAGCGAACACACCCTAAGGCAAAAAAACTCTTTAATAAAAAGTTTTGAGGTTAGTCTTATCTACTAGCTACATAAATTTATTTACAATTCAGTTGAGTGAAATTAATGATTCAGTTCTTTTTTATGAAGAGGTTTTTGCTATAGGTTGCGTGTGCTCGCCAGAGAGAGAGAGACAGAGATATAGAAAGCAAGAAATCACCCCCCAGGGTGATGGCCATGCCACAATCCCTTCTCCTCCATTCTCCTCTTGGGATCTTGGGCACGCACACACACACACCCGGTGTGAGTTTTAAGCCACTGGGTCCGGGATGTGAACTGCAGTCGACTACATGGGAGTCCAGTGACATAGCCATTATGCTAACTGCTGGTCCCAATGATTCAGTTCTTTAGTCACTGTTAACTGTATTTCAGATGCTCCACTTGCCAAGTGTGGCAAGTAACTTTTTTTTTTTTTCTTCTGTAGAAGTTTTTGCTATAGGGCACGTGCACTCTCCAGAAAGAGAGAGACAGAAAGTGAGAAATCACCCCCCAGGGAGGATGGCCACACCGCAATCCCTTCTCCATTCTCCTCTCTTGGGATCTTGGGCACGCACACACACACACCCGGTGTGAGTTTTAAGCCACTGGGTCCGGGATGTGAACTGCAGTCGACTACATGGGAGTCCAGTGACATAGCCATTATGCTAACTGCTGGTCCCGGCAAGTAACTTCTGAATTGGACAGCACATATGTAGAGCATTTCTGTCAGGTTGTGCTTGTCTGGATGAGATGTTGGTAAACTTTATAAAGGGCCAGATAGCAAATATTTGAGGACTTGCTCTACTGTTCTAGTGCAAATGCTTCCATAAACAATAACATAAATTGAAGGTTAATGCCAATAAAATTATTTATGACACTGAGCTTTGAATTTCATGTAATTTTCACATTATGGAATATTCTTTGGTTCTTTATTTCTATTATTTAAATTTGTTACAGGGTGTGTCTGCTCACCAGAGAGGGAGGGAAAGTGAGAAAGCCTCCCTTAGAGGAGATGGCCACACTGTTATCTCCTCTCCTTCATTCTCCCCTCAGGATCTTGGGCATGCACACACAAACGCCTGGAATGTCTCAAGCCGCAGGGTCTGAGACTGGAACTGTGCAGTCAGCCATATGGGATCCAGCTGCCCCCAACTTCCACCCACCAGCTGGCCCCTGGATCGTTTTATAACCATGTAAAAATTTAAAACCATCTTTAGCTGATGGGACATAACAAAACAGGCTGTGAGCCTGATTTGACCCATGGGTCAATAGTTAGCTAACCACGGTCTAGAGGAATAGGAAGTCAAAACTGAAGATGTTCTTACTTTGGGCTGCTGGTAGAATGGTGATTAAGGCAGCTGGATCTCACTATGGCTGACTGCCCGGTTTGAGTCTTGGACCCAGCAGGTTGTAAAACATGCCAGGTGTGTATGTGTGTGCCCAAAATCTTGAAAGGAGAGATGAAGGGATTGTGGTATGACCATGACCCATGGAGGGTGCTTTCTCACTTTCCCTTTCTTTTATTTCTTTTAACCAAGTGTGCATCCCTATGAACAAGTTATAAATTTTCTTACCATATAAGACACCTGATCACTTGAAAATTTTTAGTCGCTCTTCCATCCTGAAGAACTTCCTTCACCTATAAACTGGGAGTCATCGGTAGGAATATGTACTTTCCTTCTCTATTTTTGCAATCTACTCTGTCAAACTCCTTCAATAGGAGATGACTACTATAATGTTTAAATCTTTTTTCAAAATTATTTTATTGGGACCAGCAGTTAGCATAATGGCTATGTCGCTGGACTCTCACGTAGTCCACTGCGGTTCGAATCCTGGACCTGGTGGCTTAAACTCACACCAGGCACGTGTGTGTGCGTGCCCAAGATCCCAAAAGGAGAATGGAGGAGGAAGGGATTGCAGCGTGGCCATCCCACCTGGGAGGTGATTTCTCGCTTTCTGTCTCTCTGTCTCTCTCTGTCTTGCGAGTGCACGTGCCCTATAGCAAAGACCTCTCCAAAAAAAAAAATTATGTTATTTAGGGGCCGGCAGGTGTCCATGGTGGTTAGGGGCACTGCATTCTCACATGGCTGACTGAGGTTCAAGTCTCAGACCTGGTGGATTGCTTTCTCACTCTCTCTCTCTCTCTCTGTCCTCTGGTCAAATTGAAATAAACAAATGAATAAATACATGAATAAAGTTAAATGAAAAAATGTACAAATTATTTTGTTTACCTCTATTTATTGTTATTATTTTCAAATTAGACCAGAGAGAGGGAAAGTGAGAAAGCAAGCCACCAGATTTGAGACTTGAACCGCAGTCGGCTATATGGGAGTCCAGCGCCTTTAACCACCTACCGGCCCCTAATGTTTAAATCTTTCATGAAATCACACCTAAGTCTAAAATCTAAAAGACCAACCCCGTGTCTTTCTCTACTAAGTGGCTGAATCCTTCCCTGTGACCTTGTTCAGCATAGATGGGAAGTTTGCTATCACCTGGGTCAGTTCTGTCCCTGTACTCTACCAGAACAGCATCAATACTGGAGGACCCAAGAGGGATGCTTTTTCCTGGATCAGACAGGGTTAGTGTTCATCTTCAACAGTCAACCCCTCGTGCCCACTCACACCCACTCTCCCTTTTTTACTCTGGAGAAGTATATGGGGAGGAAAGGGATTTTATGACCTCGCTCTATCTCCAAATCACATGCTACCTTGAATGGCACTGTTGAAGGATGCCTTGGATAAGAGAAGAAAGAAGAAAGGAAAGATAACCGCAGAGCGAATAAAACGGTCAAGGACACAGGAAGGACATAATAGGGGCTAAGACATGGGATCCTTGAGAACTGAGATAAATGTGTTCACTGTGGAAAGAGATGGAAGTCTTAGGTCATGAAGAATGTGGTATTTTTAACAAGTGAGGTGGGTGGGAGGGTTCAGGTAAGCAAGGACTGAATGCCTATTGTCTACTAGATAGTGCACTGGGCTATCAGATGAATGGCAGGTAAGGACAGAAAAGTTTACAATCCTTAGAATGGCGGATTGGAGAAGGACAGAATTAGAGTTTTAGATAACAAAAAAGCAAGATTTAGTAATATAGAATGGCGAAGTATAAAAGGGTTATAAAAGGATTAGAAATGGGTACTTTGGAGAGGAAAACAAGTGGCAATACTTAAAAGAAACTGGAGAACAAAGGCTAACAAATTAGGGGGTTGGTACTTTGCTGAACTAAGGGGTAAATGGATGAAACCATCACGAGCTGTGGTTGCTTTTCTGTTCTTTGTGATGTTCGCGTTCAGTCCCCAGCATGGTCCCCACGCTGAAGGACATCTACCGATTTGGTTCCTTCTGCATTTAAGGTACATTGCTTCCCCCCAGAGACCTCTCTGCGGGAAGTCTGGTCCAGCGAGAGTTCTTTCCACGAGGAGAGAGCGTTAGATTCGAGCTCTCCGATCCAGGTTTCTTCGAGTTTATCTCTGTTTTAACCGGCTCGCCGGGTTTTCCAGCATTCCCGGAGCGATGATTCTCTAATCCGGGCTCCGGGTGACCGCGCATTCCGAGACCCAAGATCTGGCTCCTTCATCCAGGTTCCGGGTTTCCCCTGAGCTCGCCGGCTCCTGACTACACACCAGCAGGGAATCCGGATCCGAGGGCCTGTAAGTCCAGTGTCCGGGTCTTCCGGGCGGCCCTGGTTGTCCCGGATCGCGGCGGCGGCG